TTGGGAATGTAAAGTGGAGGATGTCCCTACTACCTATTGAGGACTCCCTCTTGGACTAAGAAAACCCAAAAAAAGACAATGGTCCCAAGTCCTAGATAGGGTTGACAGAAGCTTGGCAGGTGGAAAGGTAGACTCCTTTCTATGGCAGGGAGGTCGACCCTGATTAAAGCCACCTTATCAAACTCCCCAGTCTATCTCATGTCGCTCTTTCATATGCCTGCTCAAGTGGCTAACCACTTGGACCAACTCATGAGAAATTTTTTATGGTCGAGGCAGGCTGAGAAGACAAAATTCCATCTCGTTGCATGTGATAACATGTCTTCCAAAAAACCAGGGAGGTCTAGGAATCAGGGTGCTCAGAAAACATAACCTCGCTCTCTTAGGCAAGTGGTGGTGGTGTCTAGCAACCCAGCCTGACTCTTTGGGCTTAAGTCCTAAGGAACAAGTACAGGATTCCTGAAGGAGTTTGGGTGCCTGAGAAGACCCAGAGACATAACGTCTCAGGAGAATGGAAATCCTTTTCTTCGGCCTTGTCTCACTTCAAAAAATACATTAGATTCCACCCTAGAGAAGGTTCCCGTGTGAGATTTTGGTCAGACTTATGGATAGGTACATCACCTCTGCGGGATGTGTTCCCAGCTCTCTACTCATTGACCATTAACAAAGAATCAACAGTGGCTGAGGAATTGGTTTTATCAGGAGAACGAAGAGTCTGGAATCCATCCTTTCGGAGGAGCCTAGCAGAAGAGGAGATCAACCATTTTCAATTGCTCATAACAGACCTTCAGACCTTCACTCTCTCTTTATTCCTAACCAAAGGAGAGACACTATGGTTAGGCTATTTCCATGGTTACTTTTTGGGCCTCGAACCACAAGGTCTACTCGGGTAGAGCAAGGAGTTTGTTCTTTCCCCAATGGAAAAAAATCCTCTATCACCGCCCACGACAGCCACAAAGATCCAGCATTTGGCAACCACCACCAGAATGAATCATTAAATTAAATTTCGATGGTTGCTCCTTTGGGAATCCTGGCCCGGCTGGGGCTGGGGGGGCATTTAGAAACCACCAAGGCAACGTACTGCTTACATTCTCAAAGCATCTTGGCTTCAAGGATGCACATAATGCAGAAGCCTTAGATCTCCAACAAGGCCTGAAAAAGTTCAACTGCTCTTGCGGCTTACATCTCATCATAGAAGGAGATTCAAAAAATGTTCTCTCATGGGCTAGTAGGACTACTTCTCCGCCATGGTACCTAACCACTATCTTTGATGAAATTGAGCATATTTGCAGGGATATGGACGTCTCTTAGAGGCATATATGGAGGACGTCCAACGACTTCACAGATTGCTTGGCGAAAGAGGGAGCTAGTATGCAAGTACAAGATCAAGCCGGGGTCGACTTTTTTTTGCACAGGACCTTTGACACAGCTCTTCAACATAGCGTATTAGTTGGCAATTTTAGGGCTCCTGTAATTTTTGAAAGCTTCATGTAAATCCTTTAAATCGGGCAGAATCTATGAGCCGCCTTTTTTTTATATGATATGCTGACTGTTTTTTACTGATCCATCCCTAGCGGGTGAACTTGGACTTACAAATTCTTGTGCACAGCAACTAATACAATGTTAACTTTCTCTCAAAAAAGAAAAACACCTTCAAAGTTCATGACAATCCAATTAGTAGAAAATTAAAATTAAAATTGCTAAATTAAATCGTGGCCATCGGTGTTTTTCTTTCTAGTATGAACTGTTGAAGGGTGCTTGTGCACCCCTTCCAGCATCCACATGATGTGGAATCTATACTATCCTTGAAAAAAAAAAAAAACAATGTTGTCCATGATGGAGTACAAACCCAGCTTTTCATTACTGCTTTAAAGCTTCCATTTAGATGATAAAATTAGACAAAAACCATTTTGTATGCATATATTTGGGAATACCTGAGGTTTTCATACATAAAACATGGCAACTAGCCGATTTGAGTTGACTTGGATCACTTGGTGACACTGTCTTAATTAAAAATGAGTTTTTATTAACTGTGAGAACAAGTTAGCTGTCTGCATGGATCTTCTGCTTCACATCTCCATCACATTGTATCACTAAGTTTTGATTGTATGACGTGTTAGTTTATTTTGAAAAATATCATTTATTACACTTTACACATGAGGAAAAAAACCATAACTCGAATGCATCTGTTACCTTACCCTATCATGTAAATGTCATTTAGTAACTGTAGGAATGAGTTCATTGAGGGGAGGATTTTGCAAACAACTTATAAGAAATGTGAAGTGGTGGTTGGTGTCTGAATAGTATCTTTTAAGTTTACTGAACTTTTTGAAGTACCATAACAAGATTGGAGCAGCATTGTGCCGAAATGTGAAGTGGCAGTTGATATGTGAATGGGATCTTTTAAATTTACTTAAATTTTTGAAGTACCATAACAAGATTGGAGCAGCATTGTGCAGTTGGCAGGCTTCATTATTTAATGCCAAAGTACCAGGAGAACTTTTGGTTGCTATCTCTTTCACTGTATTCATTTAAGTGATGCTGTAATCTGTTTGGGTCAATCTGCTGATTCTATGTGGCCAAAGTTTGTTTCTGCTTTTGAAACATGGTTTCCTCTCTAAGAAATTAGACTGATTTTTCATGCAGTAAATCTGGTAGCATTGTCATATTTGGTTGCTTGAATTGCAATTTATTGTTCATGAGAGACTCATGCGTTGCCTGTGGTCTTTAAAGATTCTAAAACATACATATGATTGCATACGTACATGGATATTGCTAAACTTGATTGTTGTTTTAGACCATTACTATAAGGTACGATCACCCCTTTTTGGAGCCTTGTACTTTTTTATGTGTAGACTTTAGGCCCAGTTTGGATGTCAAAGAAACAAATATTCACAGCAAAAAAAATTCAAGTTTTTCCACCTCAATTCAAAAACATTTTCGTCTTATTTTATTATGTTGGTAAACTGTTTGGATGTCTAATTTCATTGATTTGTCAAAAAAAATACCCTCTACCCCATCTTGGTTCCCATCTTCTGAACATCTTCGATGCCGAGCTTCTGAAATCCTAATCTGAGAATGCTTTCTTTGAAGAATTCCCTTCTCAAGCTACTAAAAGCATGGCAACACTCGTTCTGATAGTCGGAAGAGACCATCCTATTTGCAATTTCATGGAGCTTTGAGACCACTGGACCAAACATCATTGATAAAATTAGAACCAGTCAAGTTCATATTGAGCCTTGCTCTCTCCCCCTCTCAAGCTCATTCTCAATCTCTCTCTCTAACACATGGAAACCATCTCTCTCTAACCCATTCATACACTCTCTCTCTCTAACAGGGACACCATGATATAACCTATTGATGCCACGTCTCTCTCTCAACTTGTGGAGGTGACAATGGTGGCCATGACTGTTTCCAAATGACAATGGCCTAGACGATGCAGAGCTATGGGCCGTCATAGACTCAATAGTTGTTTCTCACTCCGCCTCTAAATCGAGCTAGAGCAAAACCCTGGCTCAGATGGGCAATCCCACCAATTACCATAATCTTACTCCCAAAACCCGCATTATACCTTTAATCCCATATTAATACCAACCGCCTGAGGCTAAAGGCTCAAGGAAATCTATATTCAGTGGAAGAAGATCAGAGATAAGGTGAGGTGCTGCAGGAGCAGTCGATTCCTGATCGGCCTCACAAGATGATGAGATTTGATGCCCTATGGAGGGTTTCAGAGCCCTGGGTCATTCAATGGAGCAACCCAAGCGATTTCACGGTGGCAAAGGTTCTGTGATTTGCGTTTCTAGAGAGCTTAGGGTTACAGGGAGGGGGAGGAGAGAGAAAGGGTGGGCAAAAGGCTCGCGTTTTGAACGGGTGAGAGAAGGCCGCACTTTCATCCAAAAAAATTCAAGTCTGACTTGAATTTTTTTTTTATTGTAAATTTTGCCTTGATACTGGAGAATTTTTTATTTCAATCTAAAAATATTGCAATTTTAGGTGGTTGTCCAAACGGGTCAAATCTATTTTATAAGATTTTGGGATTGCAATTAAAAAATATTGCAATTTTGGGTACATCCAAACGGGGCCTTAGACAGCCCTTTTTTTGTTATTTAAAAGGGTGATGTTTCTATTTAAATAATGAGTCAGATATGTGAATTTTTATTTATTTATTTACTTAAATGAGGTGCATGGAAGATCGTTTCCAATTAATATCTATGGGTCCCTTTTCCCATATAAAAGTGAATGGTGGTGTTGCTTCCCTCTCCTGCTCCGTTGTCCTTGACTTTCAATGGAAGGAGTGGTATATAAAAGACAAAAAATAAAAACTCATGCAAATAGCATGAAAGTAAAATAGGATCAAATAGGCCTGAAAATATTGTTTTAGCTACCCCAAAAACGATCTCGTAAGGATATGAGAAATTTGTCCTCAAACTACGCTCTGAAATTGGTTAGGGGGATGGTTTGAGAGAAGAAATACATAGATAATTTTTCACTATCAACTTATTAAAGGAAAAACATCATCAATTCATCTTAATATTTTGTTGGATGGTATGCAAGGTACTCCCCTACAGTTTTTTGAACAGTATTTCATGACCTAACGAGCCGTTAGATGTGGGACATTTCTCCTCTCAAAGTCATAGGAACGAGACTCCCTAGTCGAAATTGAGAAGGAATTTTGTCCGAGGAGTGACATGCCCTAGTTCTCACTTTCCACATTTGATGGCATGGGAGGCTGTAAATTATTCAAGGAGAAAATTAGTATGGCTCATTATGTACAATTTTTACAATGTGTTGCATGCATGCATGCATCTATCTATCTACCCATCCATGCAGTGCTTGGTGCTTCCGAAACTGAACATCTTGAAACTTCTGTCCCACTACCCCACTGTGCAACTAAGATTTGAACACTAATAAGTCTTAACATATTAAACAATTTTTGGTTTCTGTTTGCTGCCAATTAGCTGTTTATTGTCCAACTTAGTTGATTGTTAATCATTGTTGTGTAGGATGTGTCGTGCATTGATGCCTGGTGATGATGATAGCCTGAATGATGAAGCTATTTGGGAGACACTTCCAGTAAGCAAAATGTGTCAATGGTTTTAATGCTTGCGGCTTAATGCTGCTTGCTGGGAATTTTTTTAGCATTCATTGTTTTAGTATTCATTATTTTTAGTATTCATTGTTATTTTGACTAGACACCTATTCCTCTTTTTCTTATATGCTTATTCCAGTAGTAGTGGTATTATTGAGTTATAATGATCATATGTCCCTCAAGTAGAGAAGAATGATAATGTGTCACTCTGATTACTTGCATAGCTCAATTCATTACTTGGGTTTTGGTGCCTTACCACTTTTTTCATGTCAGACAATGTTCTATGGTTACTGTTTTTTACAGAGAGCAGAAACAAATATGTAAAAGCTACCTGGACCTCAATGAATCTAGGAATCTTCAAACTAAGACTATATCCATCTGAAGGAATGTGGCCCTTTTTTATGCATCAATAAAGTAAAGAACGAAACTGTCACTATGTAGGCGTAGCTTTGGGGCTTTCCCATTAGGTGTCATGTGACTGCATAATGCAATCTCAAAGATCTGATTGACTGTCTGTAAGCTAATAAAAGAGTTCTACCATAGGGGCATCATTCATAAAGCAATGAATGCCACCTTCATCACCTTAGTCCCCAAGATGGAAGGAGCCGACGAATTAAAGGACTTTAGACCGATCAGTTTGGTAAACTCCTCCTACAAGATACTGTCAAAAGTGCTGGCGACTCTTCTGAAAGAAGTGCTACCTTTTGTTATTTCTCTTTCACATAGTGCCTTCATAAAGGATAGACAAATCCTTGATGCGGTCCTGGTTGCTCACGAGTGTCTTCATTCTCGACACTTACAGAAAAAACCAGGACTTATATTCAAAATTAAATGGGAAAAGGCCTATGACCATGTCGACTGGTCACTTTTAGATGGTTTCGGGGATAGATGGCGGAGATGGATGAGGGGTTGCTACTCAAATCCCCACTTCTCCATTCTCATCAACGGGACTCCTAAGGGATTCTTCTCCTCTTCTAGGGGTCTCTGACAAGGAGACCCCATTTCCCCCTTTCTCTTTGCTATAGCTGCTGAAGTCTTTAGCCAATCACTATTTAGGTTGTACCAGGTGGGCCTAATGAATGGCTTCAAAAGCTATGCTAGGGGCCCCTCGGTATCCCATCTGCAATACCCCGATGACACTCTAGTGTTCATTGACGCTAACCCTTAGGAAATCGAGTGCCTTCGTATGTTCCTCAGGTGCTTTGAGTTTGCCACAGGTTTCAAGGTCAATATGTCAAAGTCAACGATGATAGGGGCTGCCCTCACCTCTGAGAAGACTAGAGCCTTACTCCCAGGTTGGACGTGCAAAGTGGAAGAGCTCCCAACTAACTACCTTGGGATGCCCTTGGGACTTGGGAAACCTAAAAAGGCACAGTGGTCAACCGTCATTGATAGAGTGGACCGCCGACTTGCTGGTTGGAAAGGAAGGTTCCTTTCCTTCGAGGGTCGCACTACTCTAATCAAAGCCACACTCTCCAACACCCCCATATATCTCATGTCCCTCTTCCATATGTTGGCAGTGATAGCTAATAGATTGGAACAAGTCATGAGGAACTTCCTCTGGTCAGGAGAGTCCGAGTAAAATAAAGTCCACTTCGTCGCCTGGGAAACGGTCTGCCGACCGAAGACTCAAGGCGGACTTGGGATCTGCTTCTTGCGAAAGCAGGATATGGCTCTCTTGGGTAAATGATGGTGACGCTTGTCGAACTCCCCTAATCAACTATGGTCACAAGTGCTCCGACATAAATATACAATTCCTCCTGAAGCCTGTCTACCTGAGGGGAGGCTCCACAGCAGACCCTCGGGAGCCTGGAAATCATTTCTTTCGGTTTTGTCTACCTTCAAAAAATCCATCAGATTCCACCTGAGGTTTGGCAGTAGGATCCGATTTTGGTTCGACCTTTGGTTGGGGCACTCTCCTCTCATGGATCGCTTTCCTTCTTTGTATTCCCTCATCACTAAGCCGCTAGCCTGGATCTCGAAAGAGGTCCAGCTGACAGGTAACAGAAGAGTGTGGCACCACTCTTTCAGGCGATCTCTATCTGACGTCAAAATACTGGAGTTCATCTCCCTATCGGCCTTGCTCAACGATTCCTTTTTCCCACTTTCAGGGCCGGACATGATCATATGGACGCCAGAGCCATTTGGCTCGCTCCTTCTCGGTGGCCTCTTTCTACAGAAACTTACTACCTTCTCCCCCCTCTTCCCCCTCGATAGCGTTCAAGGTATGGTCATCAATAGCGCCACCAAAAGTGCAAGTGTTTAACTGGATCGCTTGCGGAGGTAAAGCACTAACGGTTGACCAACTCAAGCGAAGGGGTTTCACTTTACTGAATCGATGCGCCCTTTATTTTAAAGAAGAAGAGACCCACTCTCACCTGTTTATCCACTTCGATGTTGCTCTTTACCAGTGAGCAAACTCCTCAACCTTTTCGGCTTGACCTGGGTGTCCCTGGACTTTTTAACTTAGCAGACAGTCTTCCGTGGCCCAAAAATGGGAGGCTCCTTTGGAAGGCAGCGACAAAGGCCACGATTTGGGGTCTATGGAAAGAAAGGAACTCAAGAATCTTTAAAGGGGTCTATTGTGATAATCCAGCCCTGTTCCATAAAATCCACACTCTCGTGACTTTTTGGGCCACCAATCATAAGGCCTTCAAGCTCCTTCCTTCGTCTATCTTCCGTGCCAACTGGCAACAATTACTTCTTCTTTAGAACACTTGACCCCCATGCCATGGGGACTGGTCCCCCCCCTCCGCCAAATGCAATTAAGTTCAACTTCGATGGCTGCTCACTCAGAAATCCGGGCCCCTCTGGGGTAGGGGTGGTGTTTAGAGACAACCAAGGAAATACCTTGGCACAATTCTCAAGACACATAGGTCACACCAATTCACAACTGGCAGAATCTCTTGCCTTGCTCACGGGCATCAAACTCTTTGATCCTGCCTGGGGTCAACCACTTCTGGTGGAAGGGGATGCACGCAATATAGTTTCTTGGGCAGCGGGTCCTGTATCCCCTCCCCCTGGTACCTCTCTACGATTTTTGACGAGATTTCTCACCTCTACAGGGATAGTCTTGTCTCATGGACACATGTCTGGTGGGCATCAAACGCACTGGCGGATCGTCTAGCTAAAGAGGGAGCCAACCTGCAAGCCGCAGCTACTACCTAGGCCCCGAAGATTTTCCTAATCGCTTTTCTTCACGTCACTTTTGTCATACTTTTTAATGTAATACTCGGCATGGCACTTTAATTCCAAAGCCCTTGTAAAATGACCCCAAACCGACGATGTTAAGCCTGCGGTTAGATTTTTCTAGAATACTCTTTATACTACATTTATTCACAGAGGTGTTACTAGTTCCTCTCTGAGAGGACAAACTCGTGTGTCCTCTCTTATCACTATTTGTACTTCCTTCTCTTTAATACAATGTTAACTTCATCAAAAAAAAAAAAAGAAGCTTAGGGCCAGTTTGGATGTACCTAAAATTGCAATATTTTTGGATTGCAATCCAAAAATCTTGTGAAATTCATTTGACCCGTTTGGACAACCACCCAAAATTGCAATATTTTTAGATTAAAATAAAAAATCCTGGAGTTTCAAGGCAAAAATTACAATAAAAAAAGTTCAAGTCAGACTTGAATTTTTTCTGATGAGCTTGCTCTCACCCGTTCATGAATAACAGAAACGCCCAAAAACCCAAACCCCATCTCTCTAAACGCCAGAACTTTCTCTCTCACATCGGCGAGGCTTCATGTTGTGTTTGAGCAATCCGGTGAATCAGGAAAGTCTTTTGATTATTCTCAATCGGTCAAGTCCACCACTGAATCAGTTCCTGAAAAACAAATCACTGCTTATCTCTCTAAATTTAAAGAGGTGGTCATATCCAACCATTTGGGTGCATGATTGCCATTGAAGAATTGAGTTTCAGGGTCGTAGCCTATAGTGAAATCGCCATTGAGATGCTTGATTTAATGCCTCAATCAGTTCCAAGCATGGACTAGACTGAAATTCTCAAGGTGGGTACTGATGTTAGAACCCTTTTCACCCCTTCGAGTTCTTTATCGCTGGCAAAGGCAGCTAGGGCTCGAGAAATCACTTTTCTGAATTCTCTGTAAGAGTTCTGGAAAACCCTTTTATGCAATTCTCCATAGGATTGATGTGGGAATTGTTATAGACTTTGAGCCTGCTTGATCAGAGGACCCTGCTCTCTCTATAGCAGGGGCTGTTCAGTCTCAGAAGCTAGCAGTTAGGGCAATTTCGAGGCTCTAATCTCTTCCTGGTGGTGATATTGGCTTATTGTGTGATACAGTGGTTGAGCATGTTAGAGAATTTACTGGTTATGATAGAGTCACTATAAGTTTCATGAGGATGAGCATGGTGAGGTTGTTGCAGAGATTAGGCGGTCTGATCTTGAGCCCTATCTTGGCCTTCATCACCCAGCTACTGATATACCTCAAGCCTCACTTATGAGGAGAGAGCGTATGTTATTGTGAGAGGAGTGCAAATATGCCTCTCGCCCACCCCTGCTACAGCGTCCTGTCCCTCTGCGAAACTCATTTTAATATGTTCACGCCATCCAAACAGTCCAACAAACTAATTGAAAAAGATGATAATATTTATAAATAAGGTCGAAAAAAATTACAGTTTTTTTCAATGTGAAGGTTTTTTTATTTGACATCCAAACTGGCCCTTAAGTACTGAAATATGATGTTTAATTTATTTAGAGTATATCCAATCCCATGGAATGAACCTCAATATATTAGCTTGGTTTCTAGACACTGGACACTGGCTTCTCCTAGGAAAAACCTAGAAAAACATTTATGTTTCTTCAAAAAGAAAGTGTGGATGTCAACTATGAGGAGCACCCCAAATCTATTTCTTATCCTTCATACTTTGAGAGATCAAAGGAATTCTGAGTAATCATATTTTTGGACTCAAATAGAACTTTTGTGCCTTGTAGCTTGTGTTGAGAACTCTTAGTTTTTGTATTACTATAGTCTGATGGCCCTTATGGATTGAAAATTTAATTTAATTTATGCAAAATAATATGTTTATTCATGTATGAAAAATAATATGTTCATTTCAAAATGTAAGATAAGGTCGATGCTATGAGCTGATTGTCGATATTGATGGTGATATAATCAAACAACTCATATCGATTGCATGTTGTGACACATATAATTCAACATCACCCTGAAACTTTGGAAGGAGTATTTTTTTCAATAAAGTGCGATATCATCAAGGATCCCACGGTGGCCCGCAGGGTATTGTTTGCTATGACTTAACACTGTTGAGAGAGCATTCAAAATGCCACGTTTGATCCCATTTTACAGTGAATTTGGAGTGAATCTTCCTTCCCTTTTTGTTTCTATTGTATGGAAGAAATGTTGCATCCATTGCATGAGTGATGTTAACAGGTGCCTTTCCCAAACCCAGCCTATAACGTTAGGGTCCAATGGGGAAATGTTTCTAGGTCCACTTCCACTAGGTAAATGACCAATTATCTAATTTGATATGTAGCCATCAAATATATGTCTTTCATTAAGTCTGGTTTTTCAGTGTTCCGAAATGTAGTTTATCTGTTTGGATACATTTTGGGATTACTATTAAGTTGTTGATTGTCTTTTGTAGCACTTTTGGGTTGCCATCTCTATGGTGTTCTTTGTTGCAGCGACTACATTTACGCTTCTTAAGCTGTGTGGTAAATTTCTTGTTCTTTTTTATTCTTTGTAACTGAGAGCTGCACATGAGGAAATTTTTAGTGTTGCATTACTAGTGAATACATGATTTACCAAAAAAAATAAAAGATTTATGTGTAGATGGTTATGCTTGTAACCTGCCATTTCATTTCTATCTTTTAGTATTTTAGTGCATTGTGATCTCATTTTTGAGCTTATGCTTTGTCGGTTTGTTTATGTAGACACTGTAGTTGCATCTTACTCGTGTGTCACAATTTAAAATGTCTTTTCAATATCGAATTCATAACATTGTATCCCTTCAAATATAGAAAATTAATTTATCTTAATTTCATCTTTTGTAGTATTTGGCTGGTATGTAATAAACAGCATTTACCCAAAACAATATAATACCAAACAGCTTGACATGTCGAACAAAAGGAAGTTTGAACTTTGAAGCACCTTTCAAATATTTTTGCTTCTTAAGTAGGTTGTGAACACTTCCATTTCCCTGGTGAGCTCAGTCCATTGTATTATCTCATGATTTCACGGCGCAAATCTTGCTCCTTGTATCTTTGGGTTTCATGTTGTGATTATAGATTTATGCGATGGTCATATCCCTTATTTGTCAGCTAGTAGTATTCTCTTGGATTGGTAATGATGTAATTTGTCTATTACTCTATCGTTCACCTTAAGGTGCAACTTCTTGAGATGCATTAGAGCTTTTTCAAATGGAGGGCATTACTTCACATATTGCACTTTGGATAGACTCAAATTGCATTACCTGATCTTATTTGGTCTTTGCTTGCACAAAACTCAAACTCAAAATAGTGTTTTTCTTCTTGGGTCTTTCATCATACTCTTATTGGAGTGCAATCAAACATCTACGCTTGTGAAATTCAACCAAGAGATAGAAGGCGTAATGATTTGTTGTGTCATGGATACCTTGACGATATTTGGATCCTAGATAAAAGGTGCATATGGGAAATCATGAAAATAATATGGCTTTGTTTTGTGGTAAAATCCTTTGTGATATAGCTTGGGTTGCTTGACCCTACCACATGATCTCTTGTTTGGCCAGCTGTTTGTTCTAGATAACATTCTCATCATCGATCATCTCCAAAAAATGTGGGTCACTCTCGAACAGGTCAATGGTCATATGGATCATTGAGCAGTTGTTACTGTACCTCTAGAGGATGCACTTTTGGAAGATGCATCTTTAACCATACAAAGGTGTATGGGAAGAGAGAGACCATTAGATCTTTGAGGGTCCTACACGAATCACGTCTTATATAGGGAATGTACAGGGATATGGTTGTCTTGTTCCCTAGATCTTCAAGAAATTTTGGGCTTAAGGGTAGAAGATATGACCTGTGAATGGATGCTAGTAATACCCCCACCTCCAGGAAAAATGCCGAGGGTCAAATGATGTTAAGTTGTAATAGAACACATAAAACTCACTTTTGATGGGAGCTCCTGGGAAAATCCAGGCCATTCAGGGTGTTTGATTTATCTAGAGAAAAGCTTGGAAGGTCGCTGAATAATTTCACAAGGGCGTGTGCAAATGAAAACCTTGTTGACATGCCTCAGGTTTTTCTATTGCTTTTGCTTGGGCTCCCTGATTGCAAAGATAGTTACTATTATTAGGGTGACATGTAGAGACGCAGTGGTAACTAGTGAGGAGTTTTTCAGGTGAAAGTATGGTTTTCTATTCTCAGTATTGAGCAATATGCAAGTGGATGCCCTAAGTACGGAGGTATCATTATCATCGTCAAAGCCTTTTTCCAACTAATTGGGGTTGGTTACACGAATCTTAGTCTGCCACTCTGCTTTATTAATGGCCATACCCTCAATGAGGCCAAAGTCCCCATATCTCTTCTCACTACTTCCAACCATGTCCTTTTGGGTCTACCCCTTGCCCTTTTTGAGCCTTCCATTTGAAGTAACTCACACCTCCTAACAGGTGCTGTACTGGGTCTGCGCCATATATGGTTAGCCCACTTAAGGCTACTCTCTCTCATCTTATCGTTTGTTGGTGCCACACCTAAATTTTTTCGAATGTATTCATTCTGAATTCTATCCATTCTTGTCTTGCTACTCATCCATCTCAATATCATCATCACTGCTACACTCATTCTATGGGTATATTGTTTTTTGGATGCGGTTTGAATAGAGTCGAGGCTCTAAACAATCAAAGTAGAGGCCACCTTTAAATAGTGTCTAGAAATTTGGTTTCAACATTGAAAATCTTTGTGATTGCCTTAAAATATATTTTTATCTCTAATTATAAATTTAAAACCAAAAAAATAGTGTAGATCATGCAAATCTATTAAAACTTGAAAATCTTGAAAATTGACTGTCCAAAAATGTGTTACAAGATGCACTATTTCCATACTTGAAATCCATTTTTTTC